CGAGCATGTCTTAGCGAATTTAGCGAGGGAACTGATTCACTAATTCAAGCTGTCGCTAATGACTTTATTATAAATTCGAAATGGCCAAGGCTTGGGGATTTGTACACAGTAATCCGGAAGTCCGAACATAAAAATCTGGGGCGCTTCCTAATTACACTTGACAGTTTTTCTTTGTTTTCATCGAGGTGATAACTGCGAATTTGTTTTGGCGCGCCAGACAAGTATTGTGAGAACAGGAAATCAACAATGACAAGAGAGATTCGCTAAATCAACATTTCACTATTACGCCATTTTACCACAATTCGCTAAAATTGCATGTCATTTTTTCAACATGTTTACAGTAGTAGTGAGGCTTAATTAGCAGACCTGATTTGCAAAGACAGTAGTATTTGTGCCAATGTTCAACAATATGTTAACTCCCAAGAAGATCAGATAAATTTCAAGAATTTTCAAGAAGTGTATGTCAGTGTATCCCAGGGTCACTTACGTTTTTGCCATTAGAGCATCCTCTAACTGGTGAGATTTCTGTGCTGCTATTTGAAGTATATCGACAGGGATATCAGCTAATCTGGCCACATTTAGACCGTAACTTCTCTGTGCCACTCCGGGTACCAACTGGTACAGAAACGTGATTATGTCAATATCCGGCAAATCATCATCTACACAAAGTAATGATAATAAATATTTCAGTTATACCGGTATATCCCTACAAGTCAGAAAAAAATGTCACCACCTATCGTTCATCAATTTTGTGGGCTTTCTTTGAAAGTCAGCATTATTACATTTGTACACTTATGGTAATGTTTGTCTTACCTTCCTGCTTGTCATGGACAAGGAATGACATGTGGAAGTTTTTAACTTCATCAGGAAATACTTTTTCAAGTTCCGCCAATGGTGGGTAATGAGTAACAAACAACGTCAGACACTTTACCTGTAGGAAAGAAATAACAATCTCAAACCTCCATATAATAAGAATACAATTCACTTTTTCACAATTAAACTTTTTCGAATTTACAACACCGTTGCTAATCCAAAAATGTGATTGGGTCCGTCTGTGCTGATTCTCTTTTAAATACTTTTTGCACAGTGTTTTCGACTTGACAAATGATATCATTCACAGTCTTGTAGTATATTTTATTTAGGGTGTACACATTAAGTATCGAAGTGCATTTATTAGTCGCTGGCAACATGTTGTTTGTCACACTATCACACTATTGGACAGAATTCAGTTTGAATAGCACATATAGAATTCAGAAAAACAGTGGGAGAATGGGAGAAGCATTAACAGATGGGGTATACCCATAGAAAAACAGTGGGAGAATGGGAGAAGCATTAACAGATGGGGTATACCCATAGAAAAACTGCCATTTTTGGTATGCCATCTTGAATCAGAATCCATATGTGTGACATGATTTATAACATACAAGTAAAGTTAGAGTGCAATCAGAGCAAGCATCGTCAGATATATGGCTTACCATGCACATTCATTACAGAAAACAAAATGGCAGCCAGATGGCAGTTTTAAATCTAATTTGTAACACAAAAAGATGTGCAATATACTGTAAAAGGATTAATTATTCACTGGGTTTTAATTTTGCTTATTTCGCTGACTGGAAATGCGCTAAATTAAAACCCAGTGAATATGTAAAATTGAGCATAGAACACTTTATATAAATGATAAAACCATGAATTGAAAACCCACTGAATATGCCTGAAATGGTAAATCAGCAAAAGTTTAACCCAGTGAAAATTAGTCATTTTACAGTAGGTTACATGACGCTAATGTATGTTACCAAATATGGATGCAATCAGTCAATGCACGACTGAGATTCAGTTCCAGAACGCCAGAAATGCTTGATATTGATACTTTGTTGGCACTGAAATGAACAGTATCTGTTGATTTGAATCAGATCATGGTGTACATTACGTGACATCATGTATAAGCTATGTGTATGTCCAAGATACATGTGCAAACACATGCACAGAGGTGAATGTACAAGTCTCCAACCTCACATCTACATGTACGTCCTAACAAGGACTAATAATTAGATAACTGACCGTAGATACTACATGATGTAGTGTCGCATACGCTATGGCCATGCCATCATAGGTGCTTGTGCCGCGTCCTAATTCATCCAATACTACCAGTGATGCGGCAGTGGCTTGTTGCAATATCTCAGAAGCCTCTTGTAATTCCACCATGAATGTACTGTTGCCATGGCATATATTGTCAGAAGCACCCATTCTAAGCAAGATACAAAAACACAATATCAAAGCAATGTTTTTTAAGAAGAATCTGAAAATGACACTTTTTAACAAAAAATGACAAGTTATAATATACAGTAGGTAGTCGATGCTTTTTCATGTTGTGTCTATTTTTGACATTTAGAAAAATGAGAGATGAACAGCAATGTACAATTTATTATTTCATCAGATAATTCATTT